ACCAGTGCTTGTTCATGACTTTTCTAACGTTATGTCACACACCATCTTGATCTTGGGACTGTAATGCCTACATGCAAAAAATACTAATGAAAAAGGCATTGTAGCCTTAACTTTGAATTTACTTGTAACATCCAGAAATTTCCACATAACAGTATAGACGTTTAAGCACGATAACTTCTTTTTGCATTGCAGGAGCAAATGTGCACTCTGAACTCTGTTTATATTCATTCTAGTACTTTGCAGAGCTTTGAAATAGCCTCAGTAGTAGCTGGGGTGCTAGTGATCTAATGTGATTTTAAAATCACTTCAGTTTACTGTTTGTTAGTGCTATGCAGGTGATTACATATCTACATTTTTTTCAAAATGCATCCATATTTTTTCATGTTTTTTGAGATGCTGAAAAGGAGAGAAAGGCTTGAGAAACGGCGTAAGTCAAAAGTGTCTCGATTTTTGCTATATCAAAATATTTGGGGCTATGGAAGATTCTCTCAGATAGGAACTTCTATCCTCTTACAATTTATTTCACCTCCTTGAAGAGTTTTGGTTCAGTCACCTGGCAAGCATATTTTGATTCTGGGTTTTTTTGGCAGGGGGAAGCCATCAGCATATTCTTACCTTCTTCCCCTACCCTCGCAGTTTCATGCAATTTAAAGCTTAAGCTTGCTTTTTCTAGTGGTTGTCAGGCTTTGTTACAGCATTTGTGTATTTCAGATTTCCTCTGGACATAGCTTAAAGTTCAGTAGTACTCAGTTGAGAGAGTTGCTGTTACCTGCTTTTTGAGAATGGGTCTTTGTTATGCTGCTTTGATACACCTTGTCAAAGTTCACTTTCTATAAGTGAATTTTTTGTTCATGTTTAGAAGAAACTGCGTAGCATATACGATACTGCCTTTGCTGCATGGCATCATGGCTCTGGCCTTGCATGCATTGAGCTTTTTTAGGGAACTGTTTGGATCCTTTTCAAAGAAATACAAAACCTTCTAGCATGGTGCTTTGTGTAGCACCTTTTTTTCTTGTTTTAAGAATTTCTCTACTTGTAAAGCCCAGAAAGAAAATATTGATTACAACCGAACTGACTACTCAAATTCTAGCACTGATGGTAATACATCTTTTCTTAGGCTGCAGACAAGCAGTATAGCTTCCTCTGCACAATAGGATGAAATACTTTCTGATCTTTTCTGGTGACATCTTTGACTGTAGACAAGCTAGCAGGCTTATTTAGCATTTCTCCCTTCTTCCAAATGACAGCATTATTAGTATGTGTTGTATAATATGTGACTTTTTTTTTTTTTTAATTGATTTTATTTTATTTCCTCCCCTCTTACTTGAGTCTTTAAAGCAAAAGGTAAGAACTGTAGTTTCCCTAGTCTGGGAACTCAAATGTGTAAAATGGCGTGAGCAAAGTAGCGTGGATGAGCAGCAAGAGTACTAAGTTTCAAAAGTAAACGAATTTTTAACAGTACCAGGTTTTCTTTATTATGAAGACCTCCACGTAGATTCAGAAATTCAGTGCAATACATGAATGTCATACATGAACCGCATAAAGTTACATAATCTGATTCGCAGTCCATTAGTGTTCACATGTTAATCTGTTTTTCTTTGACTAGTTGGACTTTATTCTGCAGCAGGCCTTTCTTGATTTGCTCATAGCTTTATGCAGTAAATTGCTTTCTAAAATAGCAATTAGTATGTTCTGCATCTTGCAAGGAGAACATAGGTAGAACCTAGCTTCCTTGAACATGCTATTGTGTTTTGAAGCAACTAGCAAGTGGTATTTATTTGGATCCTGAATCAACTAGGATGTTCAAACTATAAAATTGCTCTAAGAACTGAATTACTCTGAGATGAAGCTCTTGGGAAATAGATGCTGTTTCTTTTTGAAAATGAAATCTATTAGGTGTAGTCTTGTATACAAAAGCAAACTTTACTGAAACCTATTTTTCTGGTGCATGTTCCTCTAATAAGACTTTTTCTGTTCTCTGTGGGATTTATGCTTGGTTTGTAACTTCACTGAGAGTCCTGACGGGAGAATGGGTTCGTTTTGTTTAGAATAATTGCCTGTTTGGATGACTTTGTTGTTTTGCATTTAATCTTGCCATTAATTTTGCTTCTCTATACGTATTTATAATTCAGATTTTAATTTGCTTTCTATTTTGTATGAAATCTTTGTCACTTGTCTCATTCTCTATTTGTAAGGACGTTTTAAAGACGCAAGTTTTTGTCCATACCTAACTTGTTTCTGTCCATTCTGAATCTAAAATATTTCTATTGTTTTATGACACAATTTGTGCATCATCAGATTATTTTCACAAACTTTCATTAATAATACATGAGTAGGCTATGCTCGGTGTTTGAGTATGCATCTAACAGTCAAGTATATTGTCTCAGTATAATTTTTGCTTTACAAAAAAGAATTTTACATTAACACCTGAAATATACTAAGTATGCATTTTCGACTAGTTTTATTACCTAATTTTTGACAGTTTTTTCAAACATCATTCTGATACAGCACAAGTGTTTGATTTTTTTTTTTTGAAGTTCAATAAAATTTGTTCTCAAAAGTTAGCGTTTTAAAGCAGATGAGATGGAATTTACATCCAAGGGGAAGCCAAAGGATCTCTTTAGTGTAATCTGTAGAAGGAAATTAGTTTTGCTGCAATGAACTGCTGTACTTGTGCTATACTTGTTATAGTGGCTTAAACAAGGAATTTTTTTTCCAGTAATAAACATGGAGATATTCAAAGGTTTCTCTCAGCAGTGTGTTCTGATATTTGGGTGAAGTCAGTTTTTTGTTGCCAATTTGTATCAGGATTTTGTTTAATACAGTGCTTCGTTTTGCACTTTGGGTCTGTGGTGTCCGATAGGTCTAACATTTGACTAAATGCATACTGAACTCTGTTTGTGCAAAGTACCGACACACTGAGAATGACTTGAAGTAATCATGATTTAGTTTAGAAGCTCCTTGCTGCCCCCCTACCAAAGGAGGTAAAGCTTAATGCCAAATTTAGGCTTGAAACATGGTGGGCTGCTAGAATTTTAATATTTAGGTGGATAATTATAATTCTTTGTCTGTGGATCCTGCAATCTCATTGGCAGAAACGTGGTCCTTAATTAACAGGTAAACCCCCAGATGTTAAATCATGGCCTCATTGTTAGCCAGTCAGATCTCTTCATTCCAAGTGCGTTGATCTTGCCCATAGACAGAGAGCTAGACATCTGGCCCTGGGACCCTCGTGTAACCGTTTCTTAATCACAGCTGCCAAGGTAAGCCACAGCCCTGTCCTCTGGAAGGAGTTCTGGGAATAACGTTGAAACAAAGTGTGATGAGAATATAGAAGAGATACACCTGATGTGTTTTTTTTTTATTCTGGGTAAACTTTTAAGAAGGCTAAATATTATTTTAGTATATTTGCTGTGGTAAAGATATAAAGGAAGACTATCTGTCTGTGTGACCTGAGGTCTAGTTCTCTGAGTCTATGACTTGTCATGACTTTCATTCTCTGCTATGGGGAGAGGAATGTTCCATTTTCAAAAAGACTCTAACTCTGTGTGTCGTATATAATTTACGAAGCATTTTGTTGTCCAAAAAAAAAGTCTGTCCTACTCCATCTCTCAGCATATTGTTTTAATTTAACAGCAATAATGATTCATGTGCTGGCTGTCTCTGAAGGATTGGCTAAAATGTCAATTCTTGCTTTTGTGGCTATGAGGCTGCGTTTCCTCTTGTGAGCTTTTATGTGTGAAAAAACAACAAATGGGTCATCATTGCTTAAATGATTTGTCATTCATTTTGCATCCTGCATGTAGTTTTCTTGAAGAATTGATGGCGCTTTGTTATGCAGAAGTTTATTCCAGTAATTTTGTTTGATAATTACACGGGACTGATTGTTAGTCATTTACAGCGTTGTTTAATTTAAATTAGATTTTATTTCCAAAAGTAGATGTTAAAAACTAGTTTACCATTTAAATGTAATTGCTTAAAGCTCATATCTCACTGGCTGAAAAGTGGTAAGTTCTGTACTCATTGTTCTGTGAAAGCTACACAAAGTGATGTATATTCTCTTATTTTTGAGAGGCTGAGCAGCAATAAATTAGTGGTCATGTGCTACACCTGACTTAAACTTCATTTAAAAGCCATATTTGCTAAAGTAAGACTTCCAGATAGTCTTGATTTATCCAGATTATTAAACAGCATTGTAGTCCACTACACTGGAACAACATTTGATGGCCCCAACTGTTCGAGTAAGGTTATAGGACTCCATTGAAGAAGGCACTTAAGCATATGCCTAAATTGCTGTGTTTTGTTGGTGCCCTGTAGAGTAACAAAGCTAAGGGGAAATGGTCTTGACCACAACCTCTTTCTTTGTTAGATCTGCCTCTGTTAGGATCAGTCCAAAACTACAGAGGAAGACCACCGCATATTATTCCACAGGAGTGCTTTATTAACTGCATCTGCTGTGAATTAAATTAGTCTAGCTTTGTGCAGTTTGGCTCAGTGTCACTCAGCAGTGGAAAACACAGGTAAATCAGTTCACGATAAGAATAATTGCACCACTATTCATCTCTGACTGCCTTAGCTGAGATCTGATTCCATTCGCTGGTGAAAAAACAGATCTGAACTGCAGAAACTCAAAATCTGGACTATATCAATCTAATAGTAGTCATTACCAGATACTTCAGAAAAAATAACCAAAGTGAGCTTCTTGGAAAGAAATTTTATTTGTAACTTCTTCATCGGAAATCAGTCCATAATCTGGAATAGTGAGGTTTCCCAAGATAGTGGGAAAGGGAAAGTTTCCTGACAGTGTCATCGTGTCTTTCTCCATCACAAGAGAGTAAAGTAATAGGCAGGAATCCTTATTATGAGAGGCGTCTGCTTTCTACTGTGCTTTCTCTCTGTATATTACTATTAATTTATGTTTTGTGTATTAGTTTCTCTGTATCCTCTGAATGAGCCAGTTTATTATGGAAATTTTGACTATTTAGTTTTGTTTCCTGCAGAAAATATTGCAACTACTACCTGAGAGGATTTTTTATCGATGGCATTTTCGCAGTATAGGTAAGCAGGAATATTGTAAAATATTATAGTAAAAGTAAAATGATTTTTTTAATGTAGTCATTTCCCCAAATTTGATTTGATTGAATTTCAAATTAAGTTTCTCTACACAGTGGTAAGCCCTAATTTGTAATCTCTTTGTACAGATAAATCTGGTTAGCAACACTGTTTAAAATACAAACTTCAAGACTATCAGTGGTGCAATTCTAGGATAGTCTTCTTCTATTTTAATGGCTCTGCCTGTCCTACTAATGACAGAATCACTTAGTGTGGCCCAGTACATAACTACTGAAGTGCCAGACTTGCAGCTAAAAATTTTTGAAACACATGAAAAATATTTTTACCTTCTAAAATAGTTCTTTTTTTCGTGTCTTTTTAGTTGCTTGCTTCTTTCTTCTTTTGCTAGAAACGCTCCTGAAACGTTCATATCCTTAGATTTACCCTAGGTCCTCTTCCCTTTCCTCTCTTTCATATTCTAGTAGCTATCCAAAAGGGCAAGGTTATAAAACAACAGACCTCTTTCTTATTCAGGTACCCCTTTGTATTCACAGGTTAACACCAAAAATTAAGATTGAGGAGGGCTGTGCAATCTTGATTTTGTTCTCTGACAGATTTGCGTTATGGGCCTGTCTCTCGCAGGTGATCACATACCAAATGCCTGTACAAACACATAGTTTGAAATACTGCTGATGGCCTAACAATAGATTCTGGCTTGACCTCAAACCTTGCCTCGTTTGTGGGAATTTATTCTGTGAATTAGGTGGCTGTGTTCAGGGTTTTCTCTTACTGATTAGGTTCGATAGTTGAGCATAGGCTATGCTAAATGCAGACCACTGGATTGCTGCAGTGAATAAGAGCTTAACTTCTGCTGAGATGTTCCTGTGTTATTCTCAATGTAGTTTGGTTCATTAATATTTGTGAAGTGCTGAATTTTCACGCTGCTTGTGAGAATTAAGTGAGAAATTTCTGGTTTACAGCGGGAATAATGAAGCAGAGAGATTAAGGACAAAAACACGAACTTTTTAGCAGCTTTTTTCGTGATCAAAACACCCAAGCCTTTTTTTTTTTTTTTAAACAAATACTTAACATTTTTTATCGGCCTTTATAAATGGAATTATGAATACACAACACAAGTTCTATACTTGCACAGTTCTTCAAGTTTGGCCCCAGTTGTCTTTCACTGATGCTCGTACAATGGAGAATTTGCCAAGCATCATACTAGATTATTCACAGTGGCTATGACAGTCATTAGATACCTATTGCTGGCATTCACATGGTCAATCAAGGAGACTGTCTGTTCTTTTCCTGCCCTCCTGAACTATATAGTATACATATTGTAGCTCTGGAGCAAAGGAAGGAATAGGAAGAAGCCCAACAGAGAGAAGTCTTGGAGTTAGTAAAGCTCTGCTTTTTTTTTTTTTCTTCAACATCCTGTCCATTCTGTGTGCTTTGAGGCAGACGTTCTGAAGAAAATCAGAAACATTTAACTGAAGATTGTATTGCAACATATGCATAAGAAAACTGAATAAAAATGTCAACAAATGTAGTTCAGGCGCTTATTCTGAGCGCTTGGCTTAAGACACTTAGTATTCTTCTGCTACAGTTGCTTAAGTATAAAGACGATATAAAATAGCTAACAGGCTTGGTTTAGTCACTTGTAAACTTTGGAAATCTCAGTAATGAAAACGAGAAATTAATAAAATTTTTCTGACCAAGTATGACATTTTTTGAGGAGCATGTTTTTGATGGGTGGTAGGGCAGTGAACTAGAATTTTTTTAAAAATTAGATTCTAACATTAACACTGGGGGAAAAAAAGCTTAACTGTCTTTGGTTTGAAGATAGTTACCTTTTAATGATTTAGATGTTTGCCGAGGCTTGCAGTGGATGTTTTGGCACTGTGGTAATATACAGGAACCAGAAAGCAACATTTATCCTTCTCTTCATTTAATCATTAGAGCAGACTGAACAAAGTAACCTGGATGCGCAAATACTGAAAAATAAATAGCCGAAACAAGCTGAAATTCGGTGAAGTAAATTACCCTGATCATCTCCTTTCAATTAAATATGTTTAATTTGCCTCTGCTCTGAAAATTCTGCTTCTAAATGCCACCAAGGCGAGCAGAATGCTTTATTTTGTTGTTTGTTAAAGTAAATTGGAAAGATGATGCTGTTGGGGGGATCTTTTTTCTTTTCTTTTTCTTCTTCCCCTTTTTTTTTTTTTGTTTGCTTTGGTTTTCAGCACTCACTTGTTAGCTGCCGTGTATTTCATCAGAACAATGAATTTGCTATGGCGTAAGTAATAAAGAGGGGAAGTTAAAGGTCAAGGAAAGGGTCGTTGTCAAATTTCCAGTTAGCGCTGACAAAAATAAAAGGAGACATCTGTTTGACCCCTTTACTACAATTTCCTCTAAATTAGACCAGTACAAATTGGTTTTAGTCAAGTTACTTTGTGGCTAACGTATTCTTTAGATTTCTGTTTCTTTTGAATAGTCTTATTTGGATAAATTTTTAGCTGTGCTCGGTAAATGAGCTACAAAATTTGGTGATGCAATTGTTTACAAATGTACTTTGTGATTTACTCTTTGCTTAATGTTCAGATGTCTGGATATATATTTGCAAATATGTTAATAAGTTCCATTTATTATTGTGTGATGGTGAGAATCTTGAGAAAAATATCACATTTAAGTAATGCACATGATTCTCAAATCCAGGAGAAGTAACAACTGAGTGCTTTTTTTCAGACTTTGTTTTAAAAAATCCTATACCTTTTTGTTTGTTTTTTTTTAACTGAACTATGTGATGCATGATATCTCTGATTTCAGGTGAGATATGTGAAAATATGAGCAGTTAACCTTGTATTTTTAAAATTAGAATCAATTTATCTTGTATTTTTAAAAGTTTTATTAGTTGTTCATATACATGAACATAAAATAGATTTCTAGCATTTTTCCTTATCCTTATTGCCAATAGTAGTGTATTTTGAATGTGTTATCCCCACAAATTGGAAGTATGGCAATCCACTTGCCACTTTGTGCAAAGTAATGTATTTATCTAAAAATTTAAATACAGTTTAAAGCATTTATCCAAATCTGGTAAGTCAAAACATCCCCTAGTTATTTTATTTTTTTAATACAAATAACATGAGAAAATTGTTATCTTTCTAGAAACAAAGTACCTCACTGCAAAGTTGTGGTTACAGCACTGCTCACCAGATGATGATAATGATGGTTATAATTAAAATCATTTGGGGTTTGCTTTTTTGCATTGTGGGTAAAAGTGGACATCTTAAAAATGTCTGATACTTGCCTATTTCATTTTTCTAATCCAGGGTCCATTTTGAAGAAACTTTTGCACACTGGAAACTCTGTCAAGGTATTTCTAGTAGATTTCTTTTAACTTTAATTTCTATAAAGCATATTACTTTACAGATTTCTAGTAACATTATTTTTCAGATTATTATGCTTTGGATATGCTTTTACTTATTCACCTCCTAGTCATAAATTTTGTTATTGTAACACTAGATTGTTCTTTGGGCATTTTGCTATTTTAAAAATCTTTCTAAAGATATTTGAAAAAGGTATCCGTATACTTGGTACTTGGGTTAATACTTTGTTTCTTCGGATATCTCTACCCTTAAGTATTTCTTCAGATATCTCTAGCCTTAAGTATGCTGTGCTAGATGTATCAGATTCTTGTTTGCCCAGTAGTTTTAAATCCACTTTCCTTTTTCTAAATACAATGGTAGAAATTAAAATTCTATCTAGTTAGTTAAAAAGAAAAAAGTAAGCATAGTAAACTTAACAGAATACTCTACCTTGGGTGGTTTTCTTCTATCTTACTTTTCAAGATGACATTGTGGTACCACTGAATTTGAGGTCAGTAATTTTCTTTGACTTCTGTGAGGCCAGCATTTCACACTTAGCAAAGCATGCAGTATTGGCAGCTCTCCTTGTCCTAGGTTATATTTGCTGTTGTACTTCCAAAGTCGATGTCAAGATTCTGAGCCTGGAGAACAGCTAAGCTACGTTTGGCAGAAAGGGAAGATGAGTGTAGAACACACAGAAATGAGGGAATGAAACTAGAACTGCTTGGCCTCTGATTCAAATTGAAAGGGTAATACTGCCTCCGTAGAGTGCCATTGCCTCGAGTACAGCTTCTATCCTCATCGTTGAATTAATAGTGTGATTACTCTTGTTATGACTGAAAGACTCACTAGTACATAATTAGGATGAGACTACTTATCCTACCTTTTCTTAGATATTTAATTGTATTACTGTACTTTCAATTTTTTTTTTACTATCATTTCTATAAAATCATCTCCTTATAGATAAGATGTGAAGGAATCAGACTGTTTCTTCTTTGGCTTCAAGCACTTCAGACTAACTGTGCAGAAGAGCAAATATTAATATTTGCATGCCTTGTGCCTGGTTTTCCACCAATTATATCCTCAAGGGGTCCCTGTACACTAGATAGCATCATTAGTCCTCCTTCTAATTCACTAGATGGTAAGTAGACTAGAAGAATTTCAGTGCTAAATGTTTGCCTCCCCCTTCCGTTAAAGTCAAGGAATTATAAAGTTGCTTGTGGGGAAGTTGTCAAATGGATGATAGTGCTGGTTTTTATAATTTAGTGGTGTATTGAATTTGTCAAGCTGTTACAGTTCTTGCTGCTTTATAACCTTCTGATGTTGTCGTTCTGAGTTCGGAGCAGTTTTAGTTTATTGAGATATGGCTATGTGCACATCTTACTGCAAAATAAGTTAGTATGGAGGTTTACAGTTTATTATAAATCAGTTTATTTGTATAATCTGCAGTGATATGTGTACAGTTTGTGTACGTTCTTTTAATCTACAGTAACTCAGACATTATTTTTCATACTTTCACCGAGTGATAGGCTACCTCACATTTGTTCCTTTGATAAGAGCTTACACTGAGCAGTTTCTGTACGTAGCACATGGTGTAGCTGCAACTGCATTGCTTCACGGGAACTTGTTCGCATTGTCATTCCTGTAGTGTTTAAAGAAATAGAAATAGATACTACTTATTACTTCCCCCATATCCCTGAATGAGGCAAATCCAGTGCAAATCTTAAAGCACAAATATAAATATTACAAATACAGCTTTATTTTTTAGTGGAAAATGTGCCTTGAGAGAGAAATATTCTCAAATACTTGGAAAATAATTGAATTTCATCTTGGGGAGGTGATGTCATACATGGAATTGAAATGTAAATTGCAGTTGGGAGAGGATGAACCTAAAAAGATGGACAAGAGAATATGGGTTTTATTGTACCAGAGAAGTAAGGGTCTACCACTCACTTTGCATAATATCAGCTGTCGTGTAAAGGAGAACAATTACGACTTCCGTAGAAAGGACTTGTAGACTATGTTTTCAAAAAATACCAGCAACAGGCATCTAAATATACGGACAGAAGTGGAAATACAAATAAGGGTCAGTGAAGGCCTTTCTGACCAATGTGCCCAGACTTGCTCAGTCTAAATAAAGCCTAATGAAGCAGAAGATGCTTGCAGCGTGCATGAAGCTCTTCGTATCGCTATGTGACAAAAGCCTTGGACTTCTGTCTGAATCCAAGATGCAATAAATCCATTTTCAGGCTGACATGAAAATATTGGAAGGACACTCCTCTTGGTTGCCACTGGCCTGGTCTGCGTTATCTGTAAAAGACTGTATCCCTTTCTTCATTCAGTAAATTCCTGTGGCCAATGAATGTGTGTATTTCACCTCCACATGTTATATACAGACATATATATATCAGCTATATTTGGTTTATGATCACAGTTTTCAGAATGTTATAGATTATTTTTTCAGTTGTGTAATTGATGCTATGAGCAGGACATTTATATTTCTCAGAGCTGTTGTTGTAGACTGTTTGCAAACTCAGGCCTCCCTTTACAAATTTTCATTAGCCTTCTCTTTTTATGTTGTTTTTTCGTTTGTTTTTAGACCAGTACTGTCAGGGAGACTTTAAATATATGCATTTTAAAAGTAGACTAGGATTCTGGACTGTTTTCACTGGTAAAGAATTATTCTCTAGTTTAAACTTCGTTCCTAGAATATATATAGATTATTTAGATTTTTTTATGATCATTATTATTATTGTCAGTACCCAGAAGACTTTGTATTTGTGAACTGACAATGCCTCTCTCAGTATGCATGTTCCTGTGTCACATGCTGCAGTAGGAGCTATACAGCTATTTGTTCAGATCAGAGATGTTCCTGCCCCTTTATGTTTCTATCTATGAGGGTTTAATGAAGAAAAGAAAAGAGCTGGTGGCATTCACAGTTAAATGTCGTGGAACCTGGGGAAATAGCGGAAAACCTAAACAGTTATTGGACTTTGGCTTTGTAAGGCTTAGTAGCACACTATTAATTATTTGCAAATTAATCTTTTTATAGAAAATGTTGTTTATTTCACTATTTTCAGGTTTTTTGTTTAAAACATATTTTTCTTTGTATTTTAGCTAAGATTTATCCTGAAGAAATAACTCCACTTTTGCCAGCTGTCTCTGGAGAAAAAATTGCTGAAGACCAAACCTGCTATTTTCTTCAGTTACTGTTAAAATATATGGTAATTCAGGTGCGAAGGAGATATATTTTTAACTATTTACATTTGGAGGAATGTACCTGTGGTAGAAAATTTAATTTTACACTGTATCTGCACAGACTCTCCAAGGTCTGTCTTCTGCATTTCCTTATTCTTTTTAAAAAGAAAGTCATTCCAAAGATATTCCCTTATAGCACTTGCGTTGAAAATGACAATTCTTATCACAAATGTGAAAACTTTGACTATTATCCAGACTTAAATTAAATTTTACATTGTATCCGTAAAGCTCTCACAAACTAAACAGTTCTTAAAAATCTGTAGTTAGTGTGATTCAGCAACTGCCACTGCAAAGCTGATTACAAAGCTCAAGTTTAGTTTTATTTTTACATAACAGATGTATACAGTAAATATTTCACAAGTAGTTAACAGAATCATGGTTCTGTTAGGCGTCAGTGCTTTCCATATTACAAAAGGTATCATGCCTGTTTCTGTTAAGTGTTTCATCAGGTGCAGCTCTTCAAATATCTGTTGCTGTGTAGACGTCAGAAGACCAGAGAGTTGCATACAAATAATTTATTCTACGTGAGACTTGAGAGAAGGCCATCCTATCTTTAAAAAAAATTATAGATATGTGTAAAAAGAAATGGCATGAAATGCTTTGCCGTCTGCGACATTTCTACATTTGTTTTCCGCAGTTCCTCATTCCATACTGTAGTCAAAATCTTCTAGTCCAGCTTTCAGTTAACTGTTCAAGTTGCAGTGTCTGTCTGTGTACGAACACCAGTGTTTGGAGTTTTTGTTTGTCTTGGTTTTTTTCCTCCTTTCCCCTGTGTTAAACAGTGAATTGTACAACTCTATTGCTGTTGTTACTTTAACCTGGAGTTTATCTTACTTGAAAATGTACAGTTAGATTGGTCACTTCATCCTGGCTTCTTTCTAAGAGTCCTGAAAATTGAAATAGGTTTTGGGGGCGGGGGGGTAAAGATGATGTTTAATAGCTAGTTATGAATTGCCAGCCATCACTTGAATTCTTCATGCTCTAATGCTGTGTCCTAGCCTGTCAGAACAGGAGCATGGCAGCAAAATTGGACAGTGAAGCTGGGAAAGATCTGGCCTATCATAGCTTAGACGTCTCAGATTCAAAGATTTGGGAAGGTGATGAGTTGTTATGGTAGTTTGAATGCATGAAGAACCTGGAAGATGAGACACTTTAAATAGGAAAGAAAAGGAAAAATGACAACAAAATTTACAATGAGTGCTAGAATTTACAGGAGTATGCTTTTATGTAATGTGGAAGATTTTAAACCAACGAAAAAAAATCCCAAAGCATCACGTCCAGGGTGGTCCCAGCTATCTAGAAGTGAGACTTGAACGGTATTTAAACACCTAAATAAAGAAATGAAGTGCTTGACACCCTTACTGCTGCTGCTATTCATCACTACCCTTTAGCACTTGGGACTGCCAGTAGTTTTCTAATTGCTTGAAGTTCTGGCTTTGCATAATAATAAGAGATATCTCCGTCTGCTAAGTACTGAACAAACTGATGCTTATTTCACTCTGAAATTCCGTTGTGATGTACAACTGGTGTTATTTCTCTGTGTTCTTAATCTGGCAAGTCTAAGTATCAACAGGATGTAGCCCTGCACAAAATGCAGTAGCAGCTAGTGCTGACATTCAAAAATGGTTCTACATAGTTATTCACACAGCCAGGATTTTCATTAGGGCCTTCAAAGAGAGGATGGGATTAAACTGGAATCCTCAATGAGAAGACTACTAAGTAATTGCTTACAGAGGCCATTACTACTTGATATTCCTGCAGCCAGGTTTCAAAGTTCTGTCTACTGAGCATCGTTTTGCTTTTATTTATCCATGTTCTTAATCAGATACCTCATAAGCCACTGTTCCAATAATCACCTCTTAAGTTGGAAGGAGTAACTATGCTCCAGAGAGATGAACAAGATAGTTCTTGTGTCAGGTTGAGAACCCAGGAAGTTTTTTTTTTTTTTTTTAAATTGCCCTTTAAAGCCATCTTTTTCTGTTAGATAGGCAAGGTGCAGTGTATTTGCTAGTTGTCTTGAATGTCTACTGAAAAATAGTAAGGAAAGGATGGAAAAGACAGCATAAATGACTATTTTATGTGCTTGTGCTTGCATTTAGAAAGTTGATATGGAGTACAGATACAGTTTGTTCTCTTTTAACACATAGATGAGAAGACTTATAAAAAAAGCTCTAGAAAAAAATGAGAAAGAGAGGACTTTTGAGATTTAAGTAACATGTAAATAAAAAATTTTAATTAAAAATAGATGAGATGTATCTGTACAGAAAAGAAGACAATCTCTAGATTTAAAGAGTAAAAGCTAAGCAACATTTTAAGTAAAGTGAAAAATGTATAGACAGTGAGCATTTAAGGACTCAGTATATTAAAAAAAAAGATAATGAATACTTGGAATTACATATTTTGTATTAAAATGCAGTGAAAAATGTAGGGCCAAAGTGATGCTTAGAACGTTTTTTTGTCATAACTGCTTCTTGTATTTTGCATTCTGTATAAATGCTTATATTTTAAACCGTGGCTGTTTAACATTATCAGCATCCTACTCATCACCATTTCTTTTACATATTCAAATTCTCAATGTAAACAGTTAATTTTTTATTGAATTATCTTTCACATTCAGTAAAACAGCATTTTGTCATCAACATGGAATGATTCTCAGTATAACACATTAACTTTAAGCTTTTGTTTGTTTATTTGTTTTTCGACTCCACGGCAAAGGCGGCAAGCTTGGAGTGGAAGAATAAGGAGAACCAAGACACTGGTTTTAAGTTTCTCTTTACCTTGTTTAGAAAGTACTATCTTCCTCACTTGTTTCCGTCTTTTACAAAGCTAACCAACCTGTACAAACCTGTTCTTGGTAAGTAGTGAATTTTATCTTTGAAGTAAAAGAGAAATAGTGGTGACTATTTTCAGTAGCATCTCTCTTAGCTAGTGGCATATAACTACAGTACTGTTGAATGAGGATTTTTTTTTTTCCTTTCTTCTCATGTTTTGAATTTTTCTAGCCCAACTGCAGTTTTTCTGTAATACTTCATGAAGCTACTACTGTTCATCGCTGTGTATGGGCTGTCCTGGTCCTCCTTGCCCATGAATGTTTCCTCTGGCATAGCGTTTTTATTGAGTGAGCAAGGAATGTGATACTGTGATATGTAGTGAAGACGAAATATGCTAACAGGTTTTTTTGAAGAATTAGTAAAATGCCCAATTGTGAGGGAGTAGTTAATAGTGTTATTTTATTTCTTCTTTTCGTGAAGGGAGGAAAGGAAAAGTGAGCATCATTGAGGAAAAGAAAGGAAATAGGTATGTGGATGTGAAGGAAAGTGTAAACGAGGATTATATTGTTAGGAGCATCTAGGAAGTACAGCTGTAGGATTGAAGACAGGAATGTTCATATTCGAGTATGTATTAGGGTCAAGGAGCTGGTGCTTGAATAGGAGCAGTGTTGTTAATAGTCACCTGATGCATTGCAGCCTCTTCTGCATCTCCCTCTGCTCTCTTCTCTGACTTGAGTCCTGTCCTTTGCAGTTCAATGTTCAGTTTCTAAAATCATCTCAGTACCTCTTCAGCTTTGGTGCTCACAACTAGAGAGAGTGCAGTCCTTCCCTGTTTTTCAGCAGCGTGACTTTCTTCCTGATTCTAAGCATCTGGATTAAGTATGACCCAACCTCTCTCGCTTATGCAGTCTTCCACTTCATCCCATGTATTTTTGTTCTTTTACTTCAACGTGTGCACTGCTCTTTGCGCCTGGCTAACACCCCTTTCCAATGTGCTAAGTACCCTTTCTTGTATTCTTTGCGCTTCTGACTGTTCCTGAGCCATACTGTCTTTCTTACTGTACCTTATTAATAAAACAGTGTGAAATTTAACGAATTAATTTACATCGTAGTAGGAGTACTTTGTTTCAAATTTTAGCCTTCTCTTTGCAGCCCTTCTTGTTTGTTTGTTTACCTTTCTTTTGCCTGATACGTTCCCTTCAGGAAAGGCCAGTGTTTTTATATTTGTGCTTTTCTTTAGCAGTACCACAATTATGATACTATGTAAGCGTTAATAGAAGCAGTCATTCGTTGCATCTTTTCTTATGGAAAAAATGTTATTGGCCCCACGTTCAATGTTTGGTTTAACCAGCGTCTGAAAACAATTACAATTTTTTAAGATCAGATTTTCTTTATATTTTCTCTTTTATCTCACCAGATATTCCTGATATAAGACCAAGACCTGTATACATTACTGCAACGCGAAACAATGAAAATGTCTATAGCACAAAAATTCCATATATGGCAGCTCGAGTTGTTTTTATTAAGTGGCTTGTTACCTTCTTCCTTGAAAAGAAATACTTAACTGCAGTTCAGCATACAAAAAATGGAGGAGAAATGCTCCCTAAAATTATTCAGGTGTGCTTTAAAGTTTACCTCTATTTCTTTATATACATCTGCAAACCTTGCAAAGGATCCCGATGTCCTGACAACTGAAGCAAAAAAGGAATGCTGCCCCTTTCCGAAGGCTGTGTCCGCTGCCTTCCCGTGGACGGAACGTTTTAGCCAGACAGGGTTCAAGGTGAAAAGTTGCAAAATGCATGCAGCACCAGAATAATACCTGACCAAGATTCATCATGAATCTATATGTGTAATAATATGATTCATTCTTTTCCCAATAAACAAAGGGAGTTGGATATTTCTTTCCGTTTTGTCTGTTCCTTCCTTGACCCCTGAACCTTCCCTTTCTTACCTATTTTTCTGATGTGGCAAAGTTTCTGCCTTACTTAGCCTTCAAGGAAGGAGGATTCCTCTTTTGACTAAACAAGTTTGCGAGGGTGATTGTTTCATGGTTCAAATTCCTGTAGTAGTTGTCTGGTCCAGTTTTGTCAGAACTCGTGACAATTCGGTCAGCTATTCTGGGGGAGGGGGGAAAGGAAATATATGAAGTATATAAATATGAGGTCAAATTTCATTTTGGATCAAGTACTAGACGGAAAGTTACGTTTAGTCACTGGTCCTGTTGTATTGTGTAAAAATAAATGCTAGTATCATAAATTCTGAATAAATATTCCAGATTTTTGGTGTGGTTTACGTACAGTATTTTAGTAATTTAATTAGGCATGCATTTTCCTCTGTGTAGACTGTTGGTGTTGTAAACCAAGATAAAAACCCAGAGTTGGAAACCAGCATGCCTTATGCAAGTGAGCAAGAGAGAAACCATTCTAATAGTAGCACCTTGTCTGACAGAAGACTCAGTAACTCCAGCCTTTGCAGCATCGAAGAACAGCATCGAACAGTGTATGAGATGGTGCAGAGAATCCTCTTATCCACTCGAGGCTATGTGAACTTTGTTAACGAAGTCTTTCGCCAGGTAAGGAATAACGTGAAACGTATATATGTATAGTTGTTATTATGTATGTTTTTTTTAAAGGAAAAGGTATGGTTATGAGGAAGAGTATTGTAAAGCCTGTTCAGGCAGATAATTGTTCAGACTTGATGGTAGTGACATCTGCACTGTTTTGCTTTGGAGTTTTTCCCGGGTCTTTTTAGTTTCCCAGACAGAGGTAAACAGCATTAAGTATTTGTTTGTTTTAGCATAAAGCATAAATTTGAATTAGTAAGATTCTTGTTTCTGTGATCGAAGTCAACGTTTCACATCTATTCAGACATTATCTATTGCTTCTACTAGCACTGTTGATTAATTTGACATCTTTTCAAGTGCCTGGGAGCAAAATACACGTGGACATACTGGAGATTCCCAAAATGTTATTTTCTGGTCTGGTACCAAGGCAGGAATTGTCTCAAGTAGCAGCTCCCAGGTCACATAAACGTATAGAAGAGACCGGTCAACAGCTACGTGAGCGCACATGCTTTAGTTTGGAGTAACTTGTGTGCCACAATTTAGTTGTGTGCCACTAGTGCTTTTTGGTGTCATGGATATTACTTTGACAGGAAAGAATAGCTTTATGTCTCTTAAGGAACGTTGTATTATGCTGCCCTCTTTTGGTGCTTTTTCAGAGCATGTACAATTTTACTCTCTTTCAGGTAACAAAGGCTAACGTGATGTAATACTTTTCTGTTAGTTTATTATGGTCAGTGTCCAGTAACTGAAACAGATAATGGTATTTTCGTCCTTTTTGTGTTTCTGTCAGCCCTAGAGGAGTTTCACTAGTCTCTCTGAATTCCTCTACTTCTTTTTTTCCTCCTTGCCCTACTTTGCAGCCTTCTTGAAAGCGTCTTTTGTAGTGCCTGTTCACCCAGCTGACGAGCTGTTGTTTCTCTCATGTTCTAGCAGATACCTTGACTTTTTTCATTTTCGGCAGTCTTAATAACTTGACAGTGGTTGTGAAGACATTTTCAGAAATTTCACATACACCAGTTGCTGTGTAGCATGCACGGACTTGCTTTTGCCAACCCTTCAACCTCTGTATACTATCAGTTGAAAATCACGTTTAGCTGTTGAGTGTTGTATTTCATGCTGGCTAGAGGAAAGGAAATATGCTGAAAGAGTTTCCCCTGACCTGAGCAAAATATCCTTGTATTGTTCCTGCAGTTAAATTGGTTATAGAAAATTATGCTGTGAATGAATACTCTGAAATGAAATACTATTGTTATTCATAGAGAGCAAGTGCTTCATAGTGCTTGGAAGGATCTATATTTAATGGGAAAAATATAAAAACACTGAAAAACACTAAAATATAAAATAACGAGTACTGATATCAAAATAGGCCACTGTTGAGCAAAAGCATTTTATTGCTTTTAATCTGAACAAGTACAGTATGGAACTTATTTGGGATCAGTAATTTTGGAATTGTGGAATACCGTAGTGGCCTAGGTGTATGCATAGGTTGTTGATTAACTGTAACTTGCTCTACTATAGGTGTAAAAGTAACCATTACATTTCCTTATTCGTTCTTGGCTATGCTGTTTAGTATGTGTGTGAGTACACACATATATATACACACACACATGCACATCTGTGTCCTGTGTATATTAATTTTTTGTTAACTTTGAATTTAGGCTTTTTTGTTGCCTTCTTCTGATATATCTGCAACACGGAAAGTGGTTAAGGTATATCGAAAATGGATATTGCAAGAAAAACCTGTGTTCATGGAGGAGCCAGACAAGAAGGAAAACGGTCGGGATGATGTTACCAACTTGGAGGATTCATCAGTGCAAACAGATAGTAAACAAGTATTGTATCAGTGTTACTGTTATTCAGTTTGCATGCGGTATATTATTTATCTTTTAAACCAGCTGTGAGTGGGTAACAATTTAAAAAAGGGTTGGAAAAGCAAGGTTAACAAGTCCTCTTCTGTATTTAAAGTCCAGAAATACAAAAAGTACTTAGTGTTCAGCACCCCTTCCTGAGAGCAAGGAAGGATTTTGGATATATATTTTGAAAAAGATATTTTCTTAATTATTCCCTATCTATGTAAATACAAAAGCAAGAATTTAGTATGTTCTGCAATGTTAAATTTATGCTGTCTGTTGTCTTAGTATGCGTCGGGCTATTTCTTTTTGTTAGTAGTATTCAAGAATTTGGGAATATTTACAAAATCATATATATGGATCAAAACTTTGGGTCTAGACACTTAAACTTTGGGAAACTAAAATGTAGATATGAATTTTGTGGCATCATATTTTTCATATCTTATAAAGAACCATCTGTAAATGTTGACTTTGACACTGACATGAAACTATTTGAAGGGAAGCTCTATTGAGAAAGAAGATTGAGTTATAAAACTGTAGTGAAAATTACAGGGTTTTGACTGGATTATTTTCATAGAGGATTTACAATTTTGCCAGGCTTTAAAAATTCAAATATTAGAACAGTGAATGATTTTATGAAATGTAATGTAAGATATTTTAAAGAAAGGTAGACGACCCTTAAATTTTTTATGAACTTTTAAACTTCATTTATCGACTGTTTGTTCAGAGATCTATAAGTAGTAGACATGAATTCCTTGCTGAAATGGACATGGCAGTTCTTCCCCTTTTACTTTGTAACTAACCGAATCATGTTTTTGAAAGCTTGCCTCTGACCATTCCGGCCATAAACGGTCATCCAGCTGGGGAAGAACGTACTCGTTCACTAGTGCTGTTAACAGAGGATGTATATTAGAAGATGAAGACAAAGATGTTAAAGCCGGTGCTCAAGCTGCGTTACAGGTGTGGTACATAAAATACGATTCTATTACAATTTTCCATGGAGCAAAGATAGCAATTTATTCTAGTGTTCTTGACAGCCCTAGTTAACATCAAATACTAGTTTTATTCATATCAGTTTCCATGTACTTAAAGCTTTCCGAAATGTTAATTTAACTGTTGAGTGTTTCTGGAAAACATACAACAAACTCCCAAAGATAGTGTGGCTTTTCATAGGGCTTAAGAAAATTACCTATTAAATAATATGGATCATCTTTCCTCTGGTATCTACTTCTATTCAAATTGAAAGAGATATATTAGTTCAAATTTGAATCCTGTAATAGAATTTAAAACCAGTAAGTGCTTGAAGCTGGCAGAAATTGGCTCTAAAATAATTAGCAAAGCTATGAGATTGAGTAACTATAAAAACTCTTCTTGGATGGTAACTGTGCGCTTAATTTTTTAGATGATGCATATGCAAATATATTAAAGTATTAAATGTATTACAGTCAGAGAAGAAGTGATTGTCGTAGGCCTTGACTAACTTTCTAAACAACAATCTCCTTTTGTAAAATCACGTTTTATCTTTAACTGGTCATGCTCCAGACAAATGCGCACATGTCCTCTGCTTTCTTTCTCTTTTGGGCACCTCTCGTGCATGCTCTCCACCATGCAAAATGCAAGCTGGCACCCTACATTTCTAAAGCAGACACTCTTAGCATGTAGTAACTTATTCTACAGGGGTTACTTAGCAATCAGTGAACTCTCCTTCCAAGTGCAGGTACCCACACACCTGGAGAAATTGGAAGGAAAACTGAGAAACAACTGTGGTTCTTGGATTTTATGCTGAGCTCCAGATTAGAGCAATTTGGGAGTGTTCTAGGTTGACTCGCAACTGCACTGTGTTCTGGGTATATTGAGCTCAGCATGTGATAGCCCTCTTCTGCTTTTCAGTAAAAGATGCCCTATATCAGGAATGGAAATAAGGACAGCAGCTGTTTGTAGTTCACCTGCAAGTGACACTGTACCTGTAGGAAATTTTAGTAGAGAACTTGCACAGCAATGCTAACTATGATATCACTGTCTTGTCTTATCTTTCTATCTTAGAAAAAATGTTGAAACTTCAGCTGAAAGCTAAGCTATAAATGCTGTTAAAACAAGAAGATTCCTGATACTGTGTATCTGAAAACCACTCCAACACCTTGTTTGCTGTGATTTTTTTTTTTTTTTGTCCGTATGCAGCTTTTTATTTGTCACTTCTAGGGTTAGAAAGGTTGGCTGTTTCTGATGCTCAAAATCTTGAAAGTTGTCTGTGCAACCTTATTTTGGGCTGTTTGTGCATACACATTACGATAGAAACTTTGATTATATGAGTGTATGCTATTTTTTCCTGTGTGCCCTTGCTGCACTGAGTGCACAGGATGCCTTGCTGTAGAGATAAGTTAAAATTCACTGTGAAGACAGTTGCAGTATTTGCTTTGTTGGGTGAAAAATTGGAGCGTTGGTCAGGAGTGAGATAGAGGCCGCAAGAAGAAAAACTTCTCTGGACAACCACTTGCACGGCTGCATTATCCTCCTAATTAAAAACTTTCCCTGTTGTCCAAACTGAACCTCCCAAGCTGCAATTTGTGGCCATTGCTCCTTTTCTTGGCATCAGATAACATAATAGAATTTGGCTCTCTAATCTTTGTAACTGCCTTTTAAGTAGTTGTAGGCAGCTATTAGATGTCTCTTAGCCTTCTTTTCACCAGCCTTAAGACCAGATCCCTGAGCCTTCCTTCACGGACCATGTGCTTTAAGTCCCCAACCTTCTCTGTGTCTTTCCACTGGCCCTTCTGCGGTTTGTCTTCGTCCCTCATGAACTTGGGAGCCTAAATTGTTTTCAGTATGACTTTGCCAGTGCTGAACAGAAGGGAATAACAACATCCCTTGAGATGTTTTTTGTCCTCCAGGCTTAGTTCTATGTCCACATCTAACTTTATATACGCTGTTAGTTTCCTTTCTGCTTATCCCACAGATCTGGGTCTTGTGCCCCTTGACTCATTCCTCTTAATTCAAATGACAGGACTTAGAGCAGGCTATAGCAGGTCCATCATGGTGATACGTATTGTGGATGGTGCTTAGATTTTAATAGGTAATTTTGTGGTTTTATTATTGAGTGTATGCACATGATTGGGGTTGTGAGTTTTTTTTTATTGGGCTTTTTTTGTTTTGCTTTTTTGGGGAGGGGTTGGGAGGGTTTTGAGGGGGGTTCTTTTCTTTATTTTTGGGTTTTTTTTTTTTTTTAGATTTTTGTTAAATCTGGGTGGATTTTCATAGGAAGGCAAGAATAAAGCACACCGGTTCCCAACAGATTGAAAATTTAGACTTTAAAATCTTGGCAAGATAGGTTATTTCACAGAAAAGTTCATCAGAACTTCTTTTCATAATTTTAGAGTATTTAAACAAAATTAATTTTATTAGTATTAAATTGTTGTGTTTTTCATATTCAGTTTCTACTCTACTCCGTTGAGAAACACTGTGCTTGCCAACGCATAAGAAAACTTGCATCATTGCTGATTATTCAGGGAAAATTAACAATGGAAGTTCTTGTATTATTATGGTTATTACATTGCTTTTAGTGAAATAGCCATTCCATTTGGCAGACACAGACAGAAGTTTTTATGCAGAATGTTGTATAGTCGGTCATAAGAAGATCCAAACAGCTATAAGTTTTCACATCAGTTGATCTGAATCTCTCCTTATTCAATCTGCCTGTTTTCTACTTCAGGTATTTGGAATTAATGGGAACTATGCATTTGTTTTTGCTGAACATAATTTGTCGGAAATATTAGTGATTGCTCAAGCATATAACACCAGGAAACGAGTAGCTGGAGGGATGATACCCTTACCTGGCAGAATGGGAGTTACCTAAAAGATCCAGAATGTGTAATGCATGTCTTTGTATATCTGTAATGCCACCTTACTTTTCATTGGAATGATGTAGAATGCAAGGATATTAAAACGATAGATAAATCATGCGGCTTTCTGTAAGGAAATTAAAGGTGTGGCAAGGGGAGGAGTATTTTATTTTAAGATGTGACTTTTTTTTTTTTGGTGACACTACCTAAACTGAATTCAAATGCCTTTTTAAAGGTATTCTTGACAAACTCTGCAAATGTTTTCTTATTGGAACCATGCGTTGAAGTCCCTGCACTTCTGAAGGAGCAAGTTGATGCTTGCAAAGCAGTTTTGAGTATTTTTAGGCACATGATAATGGAACTATCAATGAATAAAAAGACTTGGTAAGTTTAACATATTTACATCATTTAAGAGAAATATATTAACTTTTAAACCTTATGGGAGAATTACTGGACCGGGAAAAGACTGATTTGTTCTGTTATAGGTCAAGATCCAGTGTTCTTACTCAGGGGAACGCATGAGATTTTTGTTTTGCATATATACTGAAATGCACTGCAGTTAACTCTAAAATTTCAGTTCTTGTTCAGGCTTATGTTGTTTGTTTGTTTAATTTCTTAATTAATTGTCTGTTCAAACTTTGAAGTACGTATTGTCCCTAAATTGAAACTTAAATTAAGCTAGAAGTTGTTTATTCAGAACTACAGAAGTCTGGCCTAGGGTCATTTCTTTGTGCATGTTTTCCACATCAGAAATACCACAAAACTAGTTTTTCAGTAACTTCAGCTGAACAATTAGGAAACAGAGAAGCTTGCAAGTGTCCTCCAAAATTTGGTATAGACTTTGTCACAGCGAATTCATAACCCTTCCTTGGGTGTAATCCCTTCAGCTTTGGAAGTTAGGTAAAATGGGAAAGGGAGAGTGAAAGAACAGTCTTTGGCTTATTTGGTGGATTTTGCCCAATTGTACTCTTTCTGTCTTCAAAACCATCAAGCTTTTCATAGAAGCATAAGATGGTTAGTTTTGATTTAACTTATTTAGTTTTAATTTAAAAGTTTTTAAATCTTGACTTGAAATATATAATTTGTGGAACGCATAAGTGGAGGGTGTTGGGGTTTTTTAGTACTGTGCTTTGCCAAAGGTGGTAGTGCATTTGCATGTCAGTGGCTTGATTAAAAACAATAGCGTTCCAATTCCAATGATGGGTGGCAGGTAGTTCCCACAGGATTTGAATACTCCGCCTCTCAGTTTTATACATCAGCCAGATCTTAAATACTGTAGCTGTAATACGGCCTGAATGCTATCTTTATTGGTTCTTCTCCTTTTCCAAAAATAATCAGCAGTGTTTACATACTAGTATAGAGAGAATGCTAATATTGTATGGTTAAGTACTAACAAAATAAAATTCCAAAGCTACAAAAACTGTGTTACTTTTAATAAAGCCTGGCTCTGATGTTTTGAATCTAAGACGTTCCAACAAGCGTCCAACAATTTATATTTCTTACTGCAAATAGTACCTAAAAATATCTGCCTTCTGAAAGGAAAGTAGAACTTGGCTACTTACTGTAATTCAAATTTTAAATATTATAGTCTTTCTTATGTAATAAACACACTTTGGGTTTAGTTATATTCTTCATGGCTTGTGCCCGAATTGATTCATAAGACTGTCGATTCTGCCGTGTCTTCATCTTACTACTGTTTGGTTTTGAGGTTCCAGGGGCTATTTTCATTCCTGACTTTGCCTTCTCAAAAATTAGTTTTTATGTCCACAAGCAACTAATGTTGTTTTGCAAATGATCTGTAAAGTCTGTTGAAGCATGATCACATTCTCAATATGTAAGCTCATTGGAGAATTAAGAGGTTTTTTTGGTACCTGAAAGCTACAAGTACAATTAATAAAACATGAACAAAAAGTACATTTTTGTTTTGGAATCAGGGAACAGATGTTACAGATACTCCTCAGAATCACGGAGGCTGTGATGCAGAAGCCAAAGGAAAATCAAATAAAGGATACGTTTGCTCAAAGCATGTCAGGATTACTTTTCCGAGTGAGTATTTTTTTTGTGAAGCTGGTTTTCCATAATGTAAAGTGATTTATCCAGAAGTTTTGATTATCTGTAGTTTTAGTTTAGTAGTGCACAGTATTATGAAAGGTATTTGTAAAATAGAAGTAGTATTTCGTATTTAGTAATACAATTTTTGGTATGTCATTATTAATTATTTTTAAAATGTTAATAACAGAGGAACACAGGTTCCAGGAGAAACAAGCAGTTGATTTGATCTATTCTTTAGGACTGTATTTACAAATCATGGTAGAACAGGCAGCCATGCAGTCTCTTCTTTAGATATATTCAGCAAGTATTGCTAAAGTATAAGCTTTATAAAACTCTTTTCCTAGAAGTCAGTTCAGCTAGCAAGTCACAACTGAGTCATGTTGAATGAGAGAAAAACATTTGTACATCATTTTATATGTTACATGCTTAGCTGCATTACCTAGGCCTGAATGCCAAAGGGCTAGCTCGGTCTTTATAATCGTTCTGAAGATGTAGGGGCAGCTCTCTATACTCTTCTTTTTTATTATAGTGATATTCTTTTACACAAAGTATTATTTCAGTATTATAATATGAATGACGGTGTACATTTTTCAGTGACTTCTGGAAGGAACCTGCCAGAGTCCCATTTGGCAGAATCGATTCTCTAGTGTGATTTTTCTCTTGCCTTTGAAACATAGCAGGATTTATGACTGAGGTAGTCATGGTGATTAACAAAGCTCTCACATTCTCCCCCACTCCATGCTCTCCTAGGACCTTTCAGCTTACCAGTGAACATGTAGACCAGCTAAAAGTATCTTTCTGAATTTTTAATATTTCCATAGTAATTTTCACAAATATTTGCTCAACAAGTTATGAGAGAGTTTTTTATGAAAAATATCCATGCATTATTTCTCCACTCCCGCTCTT